ATGTATTTGTGTTAAACAAATTTTATATATGAAAAATTTTGACGGTTTCCGTTTTTTAATTAAAAAGGGCGAGAGATAAGGTTTATCTTACAATGGAACTCGCGGTCGATAATTCCGAATCACGTCGCGTTATCGACATTTGTCTCGTAGACATTTCCAAGGTTCTTCTCGTGTTCTGTTCATTCTTCTGTGCTTCGTGAATCAAATTGTCCAACATTCCAATGAAATCTACTAATTCGTTATAGATTCCTTGCATCTTCACAAAACCCTTTAAAAATAAAATCAAGATGTTTAAGTATTTCTTGTAATTATTTATGATTTAGATATAAATTTATAAATATTTGAATTTTAAAACGGTAAAACTGCATAAAAGGTCACATCTCACCGATTTCAAAGTCACTTAAATATGTTGTATAAGAGATTTTTCAGAGTAATTCTTTGCCAGAAAATAAAGAGGACGCCATTTACTTTTTTTCTTGCGAAGAATTACTCAGAAGAACCTCCATTACAACATGTTTATGTGGCGTTAAAATTGGTGAGACGTGACCTTTTTTTTATGCAGTTTTACCTTTAAAACTTTTAATATAAATTCAAAAACTTTTTATTATATTTATCTATTTAAGAATTAAGGCTCCTGGTCCTTAAGCCGAGAACTCTACGTTGACGGTGGCGACGTACCGTCACGGTAGAAATGAGAACTCTAGCTCTCCAATGGAGAATTCTGTCCTTTGTGACATGTTGACAACCTATTTTGTTGTACACTGAGAAGCATTAATGAGAACTCATTAATGCTCCTCAGTGTACATGTTATTTCTTTATTATTCGCTCTGTGCTTGTGCTCTAACGTTTAACGTATTCGTGAAAGTCGTAAAATTGACCGAAAAGTAAGATTTGCATGCGGAAGAAACGTTTTCACCTCCTTTCGATAGTCGTTAAACGGCTGTTTTTTCCGTATGTTTAGGCTTCGTTTTATGGCTGTTTGTTTTATTGTCGAGGGAAAAGGGTAGTTTTCGGCCAATTTCGGAAGTGTTCTGAAACGATCTATAGTGATGTTTTATTGAAATGTCTTTTTATTTGAAAATGGCATGCACAACAAAATTGGATGTTTTCCTCGCCTTGATAGTAAGAATCCAATATCGCCGCGGTGACTACCCAGGAGCCTTAAACATTATTTTATGTTAACGTGAACTTTGATAAACATCTTTATTTATTGCTATACTATAATAATAGTACGATATAATTATACTATATCTTTACACTAATATTACGTTATTATATTATATTGACTATATTGATAATACAGTATGTTTCATATGTCTCTTCACTCGGCAAATTTCACGCTAAATTTTTGAAGTTTGTTATATAATTTGAAAGAATCAAGTCCGGATGGAAATGGATATAAAGTTGAAATTTGGAATGTAACAATGAAACAAAAATCGAAATACTGATTGAAGAATATTCTCTGCGACACTCACTCGATCCAACACGACGATGTGATCCGCGCGTTTGAGAAATTGCAACTGATGGGTGACGAGTATTCTCGTTTTGTCGTGGAGATACTCAGTAATGCACTTCCTGTAGAGGTGCCTGGCGACACGAGAGTCCACCGCGCTCAAGGGATCGTCGAGTAGATAGAGATCCGCCAACCTGTAAACCGCTCTCGCGAGATTGACTCGCGCTCTTTGGCCTCCGGACAGAGTTATACCTCTTTCGCCGACCATTGTCATGTCTCCTTGTGGAAACTGCCGGAAATCCTTCGTCAAGGCGCACACATTTGTCACCTAAAATGTTGGCCAGTCGATCGTGAAGAGTGTGAAACATTATAAAATGCTAGAAAGTTCGAAATTAAGAAATATTGGACATTATTCCTTCTTTTATATAGATGGAATCATACAGATTAAAGATTCGGAAAAAATTTATGGTAGTCGCTGAGACATATCTTCTTTCATTGATAAATCAATGACGATTCACGTTTAATGGTTGAAGCAAAAGACTGAAGGATATGAAAAAATTGTGTATAGATGCCAAAAAAAGTTATCAATATATACGTACAATAGCAGGGATACATGAATAGTATACAATAACCGTCTGAAAATATTACCTGATTATATCTGGCCTTGTTGTAGGGCTGACCAAAGAGTATGTTGTCTCTCACAGTACCGCTGAAAAGCCAGGGGTCCTGGCTGGCATAAGAGATACGCAGAAAATTATTCTTCGAAGAGCTCTGAGTGAGAGCCACTGAACCCGCGCCGGGATCCAACTCCTTCAGCAGTAGATGTAACAGAGACGATTTACCGGAGCCCACGGCGCCGACCACAACGCATAACTGGCCCGGGTTGATGGTCAAGTCGATATTGCACAAAGTCGGCGGCAATTGGCCGTTGATCCAATTGGCGGAAACTTGCTGAAGCTTCACGCAGACCGGAAGGTCAGAAGTTCCCTGAAGCTCCGAAAGAACGTTACTCCTATTTTTCAAAATGTATCTGATGTCTGTTTGATTCTCTACATTAGTCGCTTCGTTTGGTTTCTGAAATTTATCATGTAATTGCGGCGTCTTCTCTAAACGTTCCATACTCACTTCGTCCATCAGCAAAAAGTCCTGTACAAATTAAGCGCATTTTAATAATTACGTAAGGATGTGCCAGTCAAACTATGGGATACGTTGTAAAGCAACTGATTCAATAGTTTATCGCGAATTTGGAAATATAATATGACAATATGCACCTCTAATCGGTTCGTAGACACTATTGATTCGCCCAGCATTACCAGCGCCAGTGGAAAACTCATCGCGACGGTAACTCTAAAAATAATGAAGTACGTCGATGTTACGAAGGTAACGTCGGCAGTCAAGTCATTTCCACTTAGGACAAACATTATCAAAGTGAAATAGAGGGCCAGTCGATCGGTGAAGGCTGTTATGGCCAAACATGCGGCGAACACGTATGATGAGAATTTGCTCCCTTTGATTTCCAGCTTTCTGGTCACCGATACGATCTTGCTGAACGGTTTCTCCCAAACGTACATCTTTACCACCTGAAACGAAAATTATGATCTTGCAAGTTTGTTTCACAAAATTGTTTTCTTAGCATTGGCAATCTCATTTGGCAGTCGAATTTGACACTTGATCGTTAGCGTCTTCACTCGTTTTTGGTTGTTCAACAATAAAGTAACTTAATTATCAAATATTCGAGGATACCTGTATCCCGGCTACGAGTTCGCCCATCAGCTGCACTCTTCGGTCGGTCAGTGGCGCGATTATAGCTCTAA